TTGTGACGATTTCAAGTGTAATAATGCTTACCTATGAAATAAAGATTGAATTTGAATTTGTCAGTTACACAGCCCCAGACTCAACAGATTCGAACCTTATTTAACTTTCAGACAGTAAAACAAGGCACACTGATTCTTGGCCGTGTGCGGCAAGTCATAGAGACCAAGGTGAATATAATGCTGCCATGCAGACTGATGGGCTCTGTGGTGGCTTGTCATATAAGTGAGCCATATAACAAACTTCTTGAAGCTTATGTTAATGATCAGGTACAGTATTAAACTTTAATGAATAAATAAATTAAATGTATGGTATGGTGTAATGTGCTGGTGTCTGCCACTTAACGTCCAGGCGTCCATTTTGCGTATAGTTGATGTTTATTGTATGTATCAATGGCATTAACTGTAATGCTGCCATCGTGGCGAAAGGATTTGCAATCAATGCAATCAGTGTCAAGTACACGCTGATTGTTGCCCCGGTTGCACCAGATATCTGGATAAGAGGCTCCTCGCATGACGCACCTGGAAAGGTTGTAAACTCTAATGTGCCTAATAAAATAGGATACTTCCATTGACTTACAATTATATGGACGTCGGGTCCGCGCTAAAAAGTATCCGAACCAATAGGGCGTTAAAATCGTATATAGATCGAGAATCGTATTTAGTCTTCGTTTGTTCGACTGACAGTGAAGCAAGCAAAATTAGACAGTACTGTGATGACATTACAATTTAAATTCAACGTTTTAGCTTTTTCATATTCCTTTACATGTCACTATGTTTGAATAGGTTGACTTGGGACATTTTTTTCGTGGTTTTTGTATTAGATCCGTCGTCCATTTATTTGTAAGTCAATGGATACTTCACAAAAATTTTCAGTAGTCAAAGGAAAAGAGAGGAAACGAGTTATGGAGAATTACAGATAGGTATTAACATTAAATTCTTAGGTTTTCGCAATTGTTATACATAGGAATGAAACTATTTTTCCGGATTTAAATCGCGTATATTTGTTTTTTCAAACAAACCGACGTTTCGGGCCCTTTACAGGTCCCAGTCAACCGTGACCGCGATTTAAATCCGGAAAAATAGTTTCATTCCTATATTAACATTAAAATTGACAGATGACTTAGGTTGAGAACTAGTAAAAGATCAAAATTTGACACAATTAAGAATTACAGCTGAACTGCTCGCTACCGCGATTCAGCAGGGAGTGACGACGGAACGAAACAAAATGAGAATGGTGAGGCAAAGGAATTAAAGAACAATTCAAAATTTGAAAACAAATGGCCAGGAACCAGAGAAAAGGTGATAAAAAGGTGGGATGACGATGTAAGGAGGTCACATCGTCGCACACCATTCCTTTTCTACAGAAAAGGACGTCGTGGGAGGAGCCTCCTTTCATACACTCCATTTTATATTATGACAGAAATAGAAAATATGTTGACTTTAAATGATTTTTAAATTTACAGATAGAAAAAGTTTGTGAACTGCCTGACATGTTCCGTCCGGGCCAGTATGTAGCCTTGAAGGTGTTGGAAACAGAGAAAGACTACCTCATGCTGTCCATGATGCCTCAGCATGTCAATGGGGGGAAGATACACGCTGACTTGCATAACGGTATGAGCTAAGTGTTGTGCACAGCCCCCTAAACATCTACTAAAAGTCAGTGTGATCTGAAATGTTAAATCCAATAACTTGTTTCCAATCTATACATCGTGCTGACGTAGTGTATGTTTTTGGTCGTGTCTCCTGAGTGCTTGAAGTTTCTGCTCACTTCTTACCACTCCAAGCTTATAATGGCATACCAAGGGTCATAAAATATTTTTCCAATATGTGTGCTATGGTATGGTGTGCCGGGCTGGTGTCCGCAATTCGATTTCAAGCCTATTTTTCGCGTGGCGAATGCACGCTCTGCATAAAGGGCTGTCTGTGATACCTAAATTAAAAGGTATATAATACATGGACCATGACCCGTTAGGGTGGCAGTTACAGTGCGAAGCTCTCACTTGTAGTATTTACCCTGAATTTTTTTAATATTTCAAAAATATCTACCATTTCAGTATTTTTTTTACAACATTAGCAATGCCTCAGTTCAAAAAAGTATGCTTAAAGGCGTTCCTTATACAATGCATGTAACAGCAAATTGTCAGCTTGTTTTTTTTTTTGTTTATTGTTTTTAAGTGGAATAGCTTTTTTGTATATTTTCGTGAAGATTTTTACATTCTGTGTCAAGTTGCAGTACTAAGTACAAATCGTTCTCTTAGTTTGTAAAAACAGACACACAATTTTAGATCTTCTATGGAATAGAACAAGATTGCTATTTGTACATGTAGTCATATTTCTATTAAATAAGTGAACTAATTTTCAGGCTGTCTCCTCCAAGCTGCAGTGTCGTCAGTGGAAGACCACGGATACGTGATGGACATCGGTATACCAAACACTAGAGCATTTTTGCCTAAGAAGCACGTCAATCCAGAAATAGAACTAGGTAAGAGTCTTGATTTACCAGAGTCAATTGTATTTATACTTTACAAACCAGAACGACACTTGTGACGTCAAAATTAATGCGACTCCGAAATCGGAGGCATTACGTCGTCGTGTATGTCAAATATATTCTAGTTTAAAGATGTGTTAGCAGCCACATCTAGCAACACCAGCTTTACGCCTATACTAAACTATAAAACTGGTTAGTAAATACATCACCTAATGCCGCTAGATGGCGTTGAACTCTAAATAGCAATATCGGTGACAAATAGAACGCTATTTATGATGGCGAATTTTATTAATATTGATTTTGGTATGATAACCTTATTAATTGTCAAATAGCAACACTAATTTGGAGGTTGGGTTGGTTTGGATGGCTATATGAGAGGCAAGAACGCCTTTAGTCTATGGTATTTTTAGCAGCATTTTAAAGCAAATTATGTCAAAAATACACCGCACCGCTTAAATGCTCGCCTACATTTAATTCCAGCACTCATATCCCACTTTTTGTGACAATAGTATTATATGTATGTTTTATTTATCGTTGTCGTGTCTAGCTGTTCCTATAAGATCGTGACGATAAGTCATAGGTTCACGGCAGCTACCACGACCGAGTCGTTTGGAGCTGCGATTATCTGTCGTCACGATAAAAATGTGACATTTTATTTATCGTCGGACTGTCGTTCTAGCTCTTCCCATTGTCACGACATTCTGTCGTCGTAATGTCCAAAAAGTCGTATACGACAGTAATCCTGTTGTTCTATGAGTGAACAACTTTATAGAAGCGCTGCTGGTGCTGGTGGCGTTCTGTAGACTGTAAAATAGCCTAGATAGCAGTAATATAGCCTGGTCCAAGGGTAGTAGCAGCCTCCGCAGCCACCGCATAAGTCCATACGTTTTACTTAGCAAGTTTTAGCAGTCCGGTTTATAGGAATTTATTCAATACAACAACAATATTAATATCTTAAAATATAAACGGTTCAAAAATAAGAAAGTAGATGTTTTCGCTACCGCGATCGCGCAGGACGTCGCCGTGGTACGAAGCAAAATGAGAAAGCGAAGGTAGATGGAACAATTCAAATTTAAAATTTAAATACAAGCAAAAGAAAAAATGATACGATACAAGTGGAGAGAGACGATACAAAAAGGTGGGATGACGGTGTAAGGAGGTCACACCGTCACAACTTCATTTAAATATATAAGCCACGACACTTTAAACTGCACGACCATCTGTCGTCACGACATAATAGGAACGCGCCCTTACGTGAAATAATAAATTAAAAAAAAAACATATAAATATTACATCGCCGCGGAATTGTACTTTATTTTAGATTCGAGATTATATATTAAGAAGACTCCTGAGCATATATTAAGATTATCATTTCCTAATTTTGAAACATACATTAAAACTATGTAAATTGAAAAGTCATATTTCGAAATTGAAGATTTTAGTGGTAGATAAAGATATATGGAAAGACAACATGAGTCTAAATTCCACATAAATATGATTGAAAGTGTATTCCATAGCATTCAAGTTTATTTTTAAAGAGAAATCCCTTGAGTTTTTTGCCCGTTCTTCTCAAGGAAGTCAGCACAGTGAACGTACAGTGGCTTAAATAAACAATAATATATTGTAACTTTTTAATTAAAAAAAAGTCAAGGTGTTACATCTATTTGCCAAGATTGATTGAAATCGGCTACTGGAAAGCGCGCGTCGATTCATCTCCTAGTTTGCCACCCTAGGAGGTGGAGTATTTTCTGCAAATTTAAATGGGACCAATGCTGAGGTACCAAAATCTTTCCAACAAAAAAGAATAACCGAAATCGCATGACATAAATAGAGTCCTATTGAGAACCTCCTCCTTTTCTTTGAAGCCGATTAAAAATGACGTTTTCAAGTGTAATAATTTTACCAACAACAACAAACTATAATAGAGTGAATGTTGTTTGTATTGTGCAGATTTAAATATCGACTCATCCGTAGAACAAAGGTCTATGTGCAAGACTACTTGTTCTCAGGACATAGTACATTTCGCTCGTTCTTCTTCGCTGGGGATGTCAGATCGACGTTTGTTCGATTTTATATTTCCGAAACGAAATAAGATATATAAATTCTCAAAACACCTTTACTTAGGCCTTAGTTTCATTAACGAAATTGTTCTCGTACTCGCACACACTCTCACATCGGACTCTGTTCTTCGGATGAGGCGATATCTAGATTTAAAGATCTTAAAGACCAAACTGATATTGATCGGGAACGTAGGGCGTTGACTGCCAAATGTAGTGAGGAAGCCAAAATAAATTTATTCAAGGCGTATTGTCAGTCCTTCTAGAAGGGTGGTCTGTACTTTAACTATACGCAGAAGGCACAGGTTTCAGAATGCTGTTGGAACTACCGCGACATTGCAGCGCACCGTCTGTGTTTGCTCAAGCGGGAGTAGACGACTTTTTTGCTGTGATGCGAAAAAAGACGGTGTCACTACTCTCCAGACTGCGTTCTAGTCCTAACAGCATCCTGAAAACGTTTGTGGTAGAGCTCGATGCGCCGATGCTTCGTCATTTCGTCCAGGTCCTGATGAGCTGATGGGGTAATCGGCGGCGCCTCGAGCGAAATAATGTGTGTTTTTATGTTTTGTCTCTGTATTTACTAACAATAGATGACTATTGTGAACTTATGAAAGTTTAAGAGGGAGTAGAGGAAAAATTCCTAATCTTCGATTTGATTTTAGAGGGGTATATCCACTTTAAAGTTAAAAATAAAATATTGTATGAGTAACTACACGATATATTCAAGCGTAGACACTAATCAGAAACATAAAACAATAAAGTTTCCTCGATAGATAAAAATCACGAAATGACCTCTAATTTTCACATTTTTTCGATTCATCCTCGAAATGCTACAGATTATTAGGACAAAAATTAGATAATTAATTATATTTATGCATGATCGAGAACTGTCACTACGGATTTTTTTTAATCCCTTTAATTTTAGAGCTATTCCGCTAAAACGAATTTGGTACTTTTAATGCGCAAAATTCAACATCTCCTGTCGCATGTCACGCGAACTTCAGGCATATATTTGCTTCACAAATTTGGGTGGAGCCAACGTCAAAACTTTCTTGGCATGCTCCCTCTTAAAAATGTCTGTATTTACTAACAAGTGGACCTTGGAAGCCAAATAAATGATTAGGTATATCATTCGTCCATTTTAGATGTTGGCTTCATAACATGGGTTGCTGTCAAGGCGGTGTCACCGTCCACGGACAACAGCATAGTGACTCTCACCGGAGAACTATCAGCGATTCAAGCGGGGGTACTAAGGAAGAAACCCAGTACCCCTTTGCTACCTGCCACTGCTGTAGACTTTACGGTTGATCGGGTAAGAATTATCAAAATAAATAAATAACGCAGACACTCATAGCTCCGCACTAGGGAAACCCGGTGTCGCGGGTGCCATGGACACACACATAGAACACCACCAATTACACCCAAACCCACAAGAGTATATATACATGTGGGCCATACAAATGGTAACCTATTAGAAACTCGAATTTGTTTTTTCCGAAATAACATTTGTTCGAATTTTCATTACTCCGAAAACTGAATTATAATAATAATAATAATAATAATAATAATAATAATAACGCACACACTCAACATAGCCCCGCACTAGGGAAACCCTGTGTCGCGGGTGCCATGGACACACACATAGACAACCACAAATTACACCCAAACTCACGAGAGAAATAAATGCAGGCCATACAAATATTTCTCCCGGCCCGGGAATCGAACCCGGGGACCTCTGCGTGGCAGTCCGGTATGGTAACCGTTCGGCCACGGAGGCAGTTGAATTACAACGAAACCGACGGTTTCAAACCGTTGCTTTTTCAGGATATGTTGGATGTTTATCGCAAAGACAGGATTAGGTTCGGTTAGTTTAGGGTAAGTTAGGTCTAAAAGGAAAAACATTTTCCTCTCAAAATTACTTTCGAAGTTATGAATATTTCAAACACGTAGCTTAAGAAATAGAAATAAATTGGCTTTACCCCTCACCAGATTACACATAGTTAGTTCAGGAACATACCATAACTGCCTCCGTGGCCGAACGGTTACCATGCCGGACTGCCACGCAGAGGTCCCAGGTTTGATTCCCGGGCCGGGAGAAATAGTTGTATGGCCTACAATTATTTCTCTCATGAGTTTGGGTGTAATTTGTGGTTGTCTATGTGTGTGTCCATGGCACCCGCGACACAGGGTTTTCCCTAGTGCGGGGCTATGTTGAGTGTGTGCGTTATATTGAGTGTGTGCGTTATATGTCAATAAAAATATATAATAAGTTAACAGTGGAAATAAAAAATATAGAAAAAGATATAATATTTTATAAAAAGTTAAAGGAATTCCTTATAGCAAAATGCCCAAATGACGTTAAAGAATTTTTAGAAGGTAATTAGAATATAAGAGAATGTTGTAATTTTATATGCTTCATTCAGTATTCAATAAGACATTTATGTGTTCCATTTATTAATTTGTAATTTACTAAATTCATTTCATTTTGACATTTTAAATTTTATTCTTATGTTATTACAATGCCCTTATAGGACTAATGTTGAGAACCGTCACTAGCTCTAGAACACCATGTACTACAACATTGATGCAATAAAGATTATGACTATGACTATTGGAGCAAACGGTATTTTTGGAAAATGTCATTTCGGACTTCTGTTAGGTAACCCATACAAATATTTCTCTTGGCCTGAGAATCGAATCCGGGACCTCCGCGTGGCAGACCAGCATGGTAACAGTTCGGCCACAGAGGCAGTTGTAAAATGCCTTCTTGTGACGCCTTTATAATATGTGTATGACAAAGAAATTAATAAATTTATAATAAGTTCAATCTGTTGTTAAATTTTGATGATATTTATGTATGAAATAACTTTTTTCCTTGTGTTTTTTGAGAGAAGCAATATATAGGGTGACTTTTTATTAGTATTCTTTGAAAGATGATTGCGCCTGTTGCGAACGCAACAATTTTTGTAATTTTAACATAATTTCCAAAGCAGTAACAAAACGCTGCTCGTCAAGGGCACATTACGTAGGCCTATTTTGAACCAATTGAGTAACACCACATATGTCTTTTCATCCCTACCACATTTGTAACGAATTTTGTACGTAACTAAAAAGGTCAAAAGGACCGTTCACTTTTAAAACTGGACCCCTTCAGAAACTATCACTGTATCGATTTAACGGCACTACTCCTGTAACTAACCAGTCACCTGTTTAAATATAACACAGTCAACTAAAATCGTCTTTGATTTTACGAGTCGTCGAGCTCCTGATCGTCATCTACTTTGGCTTTGGCGGCTCCAGCGCCCATTAATAGAAATAACGTTTAGTATACTCTTTCAAATAACAAAAATAATTAGTTTTTTCTACATTGTAGTCATAGGTATAATACATTTTACTAAACTTTCGATAGATAATTATAAGACACAGTGGTCCAAGCGGCAAAATTAGCAAAACTTTGTCATGTAAACAGTAAATTGAGCAACAACACTGTCAAAACTTTGACATTAATATAATAATTATTAGAATTAATAATAAAGCGGCATAATTAACAGAAGCAGAGGTTGCCACGGCAACACTGAATCGGAAAGACGAACTATTGGTATTTCTGTAGAAAATAAAGAAAAATAATTTTAGAATTATTCTCTCACCATACAAATACCGATTAAATTTTTTATTCAAGCATTATCTTGTGAATATTTCAAAATTGAAAATTTTACAAAAAAATTTTTAATAAGCGTTTTAGGCGCGTAAGGGTTTGACAGAGTCTCATAATCCTCACTAGCACCCTGTATTAATTGGCATCCTGTATCTCGTACTACAGCCTCTGGACAACGGTATCGAAGGTCACATATTCGGTAACACCACTGCCTACATCCAGCAGCAACACGCGGATAGCGTTAAAGGGAAGAAACCAGCTCTCGGACAGAAGGTAATGTTTTTCTTGTTATTTAATCTTCATGCATTTCAGTTGTCGTTGTTAACTTGCTAAACTATTTGTGGTAGCCGTTACAACGTGTGTTTTTCTTTAATAATAACAATAACGCACACACTCAACATAGCACTAGGGAAACCCTGTGTAGCATGTGTCATGGACACACACAGACAACCACAAATTACGCCCAAACTCACGAGAGAAATAAATGAAGGCCATACAAATATTTCTCCCGGCCCGGAAATCGAACTTGGTACCGCTGCGTGGCAGTCCGTTTGGCACATATTTTATTAACTTGCTAAATTATTTACAAAGACGACCTCCGTATGAGAAGCTTGCGCACCGGGTTTCATGGTATCGCCATCTCTGAGGTCCTAGGTTCGATACTCGGTGGAATCAATGTAGAAAAACCACAGTTTTCTGTATCGTCGCATTACTTTCTCAAACTCGTATCTTAAACGCCTGTCCATAACAGATGCAGTGCTAGTCAGAGCTTTAAATGGCAAAGCTCTGAGGGGCACTGCTACGACGCCCGTCACCCTGAGACATAAGTTGACAAGTCCAATGTGCCTGTAATTTCACCAGCACCCTTACCCTTCAAGACCGGAACACAGTAATGCTGACATTACTGCTTGGCGGCAGAAATAGGTAAGGTGGCAGTACCGTAGCATGGGAACGTAGCTTGGGCTTGCATAGAGAATGGTACTTTATAAATATAAACGACGATTATATTATAACTATAACTTTATACGTGTATTCAATTTCAAAGCTTTGTCCAGAACTCCTAGATGTCTGTTCGACATCAACACTCTATTGTTCTTACAATTCTAAATACAAAACCTTAGCTGCCTATACCAAGTACTTCCCTGGACGAACTCTTTAACAAGGAGCCTTACCTCTACTAAATTTCCATAACACAATTGCTTTAAACTTTATTGAATTGATATTTAATTATTTTTTGTGAAATTATTCGAATTAATACAAAGATCGAACACTCGGAAAAAATTCCTTCGATCCGGCCGGATTCAAACCGACGTCTTTTAGCACACCGTCCCAGACGCTATACCAACTAAGCCACGGAACGAACCAGCGGACCTCACGAATTTTTCTATGTGCTTGTAGTAGTGTCTTTGTATTTGGTTTTTTCAACGACTTTTATAGTCGTAGCGCCATCTATGAGAAATCTGTTAAAAATTTTTCACCCAGTTAGTAAGGTATCTATAATGTCTGTAAAGGTAATCTGCCTTTACAGCTACTGGCCCTGGTGAGAGATGTCGCTATTCACTGTATTTTAAATTTTTATTGAATTGCTATTCAATTATTTCTTGTGATGTTACTCCACTAGTTTGTTATAATTATTAATACAAAGATCGAACACTCAGAAAAAATTCCTTCGATCCGGCCGGATTGAGAGACGGTAGGTCAAACAATTAGGCTACGGTGTTTTATACTGTAATATTTCGACTTTTATCTTAATAATTTGATAAATCTTAAATAAAATTTATTTATTAAAAAAAAAACTATTCAGATACGAGCTCGTGTACTATACGTGATGCCCACGCGCAACACTCCATTCCTGACTATGAGGAACATCTTTGACACCACTTACCCTGACTTAGAAGACGAGCAAAAATTTAAAGAGGGAGACGTCGTTGATAATGCTCAGGTAAGTAAGTTTTAGCATAGCATGAGCGATAGTGGTTATCATTGGTTTGTTTGTAAATGTATACAGAGTGTTTTTTTTTAATGGGACAGTATGGGGTAATTCGAAACCATAGAAGATACAAGGAAACTATCATAGGAAACATTATGTCTTTTTTTTATGAAAACAGTTTTGGCATAGTCAATCTTTTGGTCAAGCGTGAGTTGTCCATAAAAATGAATAAAATATAATAATATCGGGATAGCCGAAGCTGGTCAAAGTTCATAAAATATTTTTCATACAATATGAATAACATTGACTAATTTTTTTTAATGCTAGTAGACTCAGTTTCTTATAAGTATGATTTTATTGTATGGGAAGAAAAAATCGGGACAGCAGAAGTTGGTCAAATTGAATAATAAGTTTTTTTCATACACAATATATATAAAGGTTGGGGACTTCAACGAGTTCTAAGGTTTGTGAAGCTTCTTCGATGTGCACTTTTATTATATATGCACTTATATATTTTATGTATGTATTTATTTAAATCAGGCAACTATGACCTATCTATATCATCTAACATATTATATAATATAAAAAATAAACAACATAAGTTCATTTCACATAGTGTGATTACGGTGACGTTTGAGATTTTAAGTATCTAGCGATGAGGTGATGTAAATTCGAATGAAAAAAACAATCGATTTAAATAAGAAGAAAGAGAATTAATTCATAGAAAATTATTTAAGAACAAATAATAAATAAAATGAATTCAATTAATCATGGAACAAAAGCTGTTGTTTATGATATTATAGTATAGTCTTTTTTGTAGAGGAATTAAAATTGACATTTGTAGGTTTGCCAGTTTTCATAAAATTTTAAATAGTTATTATTTGTTTACTCAGGTAACAAACAGTTATTCATATACAAACAATTATCTAAAAACAGTGTATAAAAATAGACCTGTAATACCCTACATTAACATAAAAACATAAATTGTGCAAATATGTGACGGATACTTATATACTACCAGAATATTCACAATACAGACCCAAAGATAATAACATAATAAAAATATTCATTAGAACTTATGGTCAGTTCTCCGACTTTTTTCTTAAATGTATATCTATCTATCATACAAACTACACGATCGCCTGAGAAAGGTATTTTTTGCATAATTTGTTTCGTAATTTGAAACATGAAAAGTCCTTTTTGAGGAGATACGAGGTATATTCAAGAATCTTTTCTCTAAAAGTTCAACAAGTTATGTAGTTGTTGTCGATAGTTTTATCGATAGATTGTGAAAGAAGATAAAATTTTGGCAAAAATGACTGAATTGTGATTGTTGCGACGTTTTAATGATAACTAATTGATATTGTCTTCTTTATTCTTATTTTGACAGTTCGCCTAAGAGTATCGAGATCAATTTTTTTTCATATACATTT